CTCTCTCTCTCTCCCTCTTTCTCTCCCGTTCTCCCTCTGTAGGAGATCCCAGCTTCGGCGACTTTGGAGTTTACCATCCAGCTCTTCCCGGAGTCCAAGGACCAGAAGATGGAAGGGAGCTCGGAGAGATCCGGGCCCGGGAGCTCCAAGAACCTCTCTCTTTTTCGGGGAAGTTACATTTACAGTATGAAGGATCTATAGTGTATACATATATATATATATGTATATATATATACACACACACACATATATATATATATGTGTGTGTGTGTGGGATCTCCTCATATTATGAAAACTTAACGACTATATGAAGGATTCTATAGTAAATAGATATCAATAAATAAATATAAATAAGTAAATAAATAAATATATATATATATATATGTGGTTTCCTTGTTTGTGGGTAAGCTTAAACTAGATGCCCTTAACATCAGAGCCCAGGAAGCTTTTGGGGGAGGAGCGGCTGCAAAGGGCTTTGGAGGCCAAAGTCCGCGGCAATGGCCTCGTCAAGGCTGGTGACTACTCCGCGGCCGCGAGGGCTTACAAGGAGTCCCTGATGCTCCTCCAGGCTTCCAGCCTCCCGATGCAGGGCCAGGAAAGTCTGGAGTTACTCCGAGAGAGCAGTCAACTCCGTGTGGCCTTACTCCTGAATCTCTCCCAATGCTCCTTGAAGTTGGAGGATTTTCCAGCAGCCGCTCAACATGCCAGCGACGCCTTGGACTTGGAGCCTTCTTGCAAGGCGCTCTTTCGCCGCGCTCTGGCGCAGCTGGCACGAGGCTCCCTGAGCGAAGCCCGGGACGACCTGCAAGCCGCCTTACAGCTCGAGCCGCAGAACCGTGAGGTCCGTGAGAAGCTGGAGGTCTGCCGGACACGGATGCAGCAGGCACAAGCATGGCAGAAGCAAGCTTTCGGAGGCCTCTTCGGAAAGGCCCCCGAGCAATCCTCCCGACAGCGCAGCTCGGAAACTTTGAAGTCTTTGCCCAAGGTTTGGATGGAGATGCAGATCGGTTCCAAACCTGCTGGCAGGGTGGAGATGATCCTTTACAAAGACACAGTACCGCGCACCGCCGAGAATTTCTTGAAGCTTTGCACCGGGGAGCTCAGCACCGAAAGGCGGCGCCTCCACTATCGGCACTCGATCATCCACAAGGCCCCAGGGGTCTCAGATGGAGTTTGGATCCCATCCTTCCTTGTAGGCCCTTTTTAAATAGAGACTCGCAAAAGGGACACAGGACGTGTTACCATGACTTAAAGAAGAACGGATCTTGTTCCTTTGAATCGAACACGGCTCGAGAAGGTGGTGCCTGGATGCCTTATCGAGGCGGGCGACATCGAGAAGAGCAATGGCATGGGCGGCCAGTCCATCTACGGCCCAAGCCTTAGTTCGGCCCTGGGCCTGCAGAGTGCAGACTTTCTGCTCGTAACATCGGTGTAACATCAGTACAGAAAGTGGGAAAGTCATCGAAAGTTCACTCTAAGGTCCAAGCTTTGAAGACGAAGCCTTCGTGGATGCACATGAAAGAAGGGGGCTTTTGTCCATGTCCAACCGGGGCCCGGACACGAACGCCTCGCGCTTCTTCTTCACACTAAGGTCTCTCCCGGAGTTCGATGGGAAGCACGTGGTGTTCGGGGAAGTGTCATCTGGGCTTCAGGTCCTTGATGCGATGGAGCAGGTGGAGACCGAGTACCCCGACTGCCCCAAAACGCCCATTCGGATACTTCGATGTGGCCAACTGACATGACAAGCTAGTCATCGACTGCGGCCACAAGCGTCTGAAAAAGTGTCGCGCCCAAGCATCGTCTTGACCAGGCAGAGCAGCATGGCGCAACACAGCAATGCAACATGCACACACGGCGGACGGACGGAACAGAGACGGACACCCACACAGACATTTGCAGGAGACTGTTGAAAGGACACAAGCTTGATTCGCCCGCATTGTGGTGATCTTGCAGTAGCTTGAAGCAGCCACGGGTGATAGGATAGCTTCGTAAGAAGGCAACGACCGGCCTCCAGAATCCAAGCTTTGCTTCCTGATGCAGGCTGCGCCACACATGCAGCGCTGAATGGGGACTGAAGCATGTCCCGAAGTGTGAGTGGGGCCTAAAGCTGAAAAAAGCGTTCGTGTGTGGTTCGGAGCTGATCCGTCGAAGCTTGAGCTGATCGGACCCAGACACCCATGCCCTGAATCCTCGTGTGTTGATGATGCTGAAGTACAGAGTCTTCTCCGAAATGCTGTGCGAAGACGCAACCAGAGCTTGTTGGCCAGATTGGCCACAGCCAGCACCAACAGAGCGCATGTGCTCAGCTGAACAGTTTCGCCTGGGCCCCCGCGGGGCTTGTGGTATTGGTATCATCTGTTTAGATGCACGAGTTATTGTCAGTGCACATGCACACTTGCAAGCATGCATGCATACGTGCCCACCTAGACACGGTTCATATAGTACTTGTACATGGACAATGCATTACATTACATTGCATAACATCACAGTAGTTACAACAATTACATGCATACATATATATATATATGTATATACCTACAGACATGTATGTAAGGTCATGTAAGGTAAGGTAAGGTAAGGTAAGCTAAGGTAATGTTCTTCGTATGTAATTCTGCATGCATGTATGTATGCATGCATGTATGTTTGTATGCATGTAAACGTGTATGTGTGTGCATATATATATATATAGAGAGAGAGAGACATACACATACATATGTATGTATGTATGTATGTATGTATGTATGTATATGTATATGTATATGTATCTAAGGTAGTATACATGTTTATGTACACACACAGATATATATATATGTGTGTGTGTGTATATGTATACATATACGTACGTATGCATGCATATGCGCGCTTGCAGAGACTCTGCACCTGCTTATCTGAATTCGCTTGTTCCTGTAGTTCTTTCCACTGCTTCCGCCGTTTTGCACTTTTGCCTCCGACAACAGCAGCGCGCAGTGGCCAAAAGGAGCTTTTCTCATGTATCCTCCGGGGGAAGTTGAAGTCTGTCTGATGATTGCAAGTCATATTTCTTGTCTGACATCCAAGGTCCTCAGAGCATTTGCCCATCCTCAAGGAAGTGCTTGAGCTGAACTTCCCCGGACTTCTGGCTCCTTGGGCATCTCTGGGTTCGAGCGCGTAGAAAAAAGAACTTCGGGATTTGGATCTCTAAAGAAGCCAAGTGTGTTGTGCTGATGTGATGCTCCCCAGGAGGTTGAGGAGCCGAGTCTGTTTTTGGGGAAATCCGAACTCAGAAGCTCATCATCCAACAAAAACCCCAAGTGTGAAAGTCGAAGGACACCGAGTGCTGAGCCTGGCCGACCCAAAGGTTGAAGGTCCTTCGCCGGAGTTGTGAGAGCCTAAAGGACCTCGCAAGACCCTTTAAACTGGGTCCTTGATGGATACATTTTTATATCTTTGCTATACTTAAACCCCAATACGGATTTTTAGCCTGGCTTGTCCGAGATGTGAGAGCGTAATTAATACGGATTAAAAATGATCGAAAACTGGCCCCAACAGGGAACCAGTAAAGCTTGGGGAGACCCCGAACGAAGCGCGAGGTGAGAGTTCTGGATGTTACGCAGCCGCAGCCGCAGGAGCGACTGTCTACCTTAGCCTTAACCCACCAGACCCTACTTTCTTTGTAGGGTCCCTGTAAATCCCCATATTAGGGTTTTGGAATAAGATTCTACAAGAAAAAGTGGGTTTTGGTTGGTTGAGGTAGGGCTTCTGAGGGGGTTTCGGGTGTTAGCAAGAGGCAAGGCTTCGGGAATTGGCATATGGGCTTGTGATCTCCTTTATTGCGACAGTAGTAGTATAGCAAGTAGTGAGGGGTTGCTGTCAGTCTGACAGCATGGAGATGCAAGAAGCTTTGCACCGGCCTGAAGGACATCCTAGACTTCGCCGGTCCCAACGAGACAAAGGGGTCGAACCCCGGCCGATGACATCGGGGGGCGGGGTCTTAGGGTTGGCTTATGTACCACGCGTGCACTCGCCCCGTTGCCACGGTCAAAAAGCCGGCTGATTGCAGCATTTGGGAAGCGCTCGAAAGAGACTAGAGGATTTACGAAACAGGAGAGGAGAACCTCAAAAGGAACTAGAGCACGGGAGAAAGAGCATCAAACCACTGCGCTCGACAGCGCGGGCCATGTTTTATGATGCTTTGCAGACTTCTTGCAGACTGGGTGGGTCGGTGGCGGCGGCGCAAAAGCCCGCAAAAGCTTAAAGCTCTCTCACTAACACGCTGGACCATGACGTGGGGCCGGATTGCAGCAACTACTGCAGACCCCAGCGCTGGCCCGGAAGCTCGTCTTGTGCACATGGTCAGTTACAAGAGGTTTCCATCAAAATAGCATGTGCAAGCACCAGAATTTCACGAGCAAGGAATCATCTTAAGTCTTAATCTTTACGTACGGACATGCAGGCCAATGTAGGTGTGCAGACGCTTCCTCTCCTACCTGTGGCATTTGTGTTCGGTCCCTTCTTCACTGCTTCTCTTCTGGTAGGATCGCGTACATAGATAGCAAATGAATGCAAGTCCTTCGAACTCAAGGAAAGGCTGCGTCTATGCTGGGCAGTGGAAGCCACTCGGCCCATTTAGTGCTTGCTCTTCGCCGACCGGACGATGTGACAGTGGTCACAGCTAGACGTAGTCGTCGTTCTGACCCTCCCGCCAGAGCAGCGTTTGGATTTACCCAATTGATCCTGATGAGATTCGAGATCGGCAAGCTTCTCTGAGAATAGGCTAGCTATCTGGTCAGAAAGGGCCAGAGGCAGTGATTGGAAGTCGGTTGCTCCCTGTGTTCAGGTGGAAAGTGGAGTCCGAAGACGAGCTGCAGGCAAGCTCTCTCCAGGCCGTGTTGATACCATGGTTGCAACGGGTTTCCTCATTCCATGATTGCTGTTACAGCTCGTTTCGAAGATCAGAAGGTCCCTTGAGCGTCCACAGTCCAGTGAATCCAGGCGGCGGCCAGTGTCTGGGAGTGGAAGAACCGAAATGGCTGGCAGCGCTACCTGCCGGAGGCCAAGCGAACTCAGGTCTCAGAGCAGTCTTCCGGTCCCCCTCCAGTTCAACGGCTTCCATAAGCTTAACCCCCAGGCCCTTGTTTTGGCACTGAACTTCAGGAACCCTGAATGACTAAACCCCTTCTGGAGCCCTTCTTAACCCTGGAAGGAACCCATAATATCAACCCCTTCTGGGCTTTTTTTTCATCTTTGCCTGCCAGGATGAATGTTTGCTGGACCAGCTGCAAGTCGAGTGCAAAGGACAGCAAGCGGAGACGTCTGGGCAACTTCGGAAGCAAAACAGGAGCAAACTTCGAAAGGGGCAAGACCTCTGCGAGCTGAGGCCCCCGAAGAAGGGCGAGAGAGAGATGAGGGTTCCATGTACTCTTTTGATAGGTTTTTTGTGTTTGTTTATCAGGGTTTTGGTATAGGCTGGGGGCCCTGAATAACTCGAGCCAGAGTTCCTCAAGAGCCTCCTCGCTGATTCTGAGGTTCTCCTTTGGTGCCTGAGCAGCATCTAATTGGCCACATGGGGGTTAGGGGTATTTTCTTCTTCTGATCGGAGCCTTTTGGCATGAGGCAGAGGGACTATGTACAAGGTGGACTTCCTTGAGAACCTCCAGAGCCCCGGCTGCCTCAGAACTGAGATTTGCATGTGGGGAGTGTGCGAAACAAGGGTGCCCGTATGTAGGGTGTGGAGGATTCTAACCGCAGTATAGGGGTTTACTATGCCAGGGTCCCGCATCAATTCTGGACTTGCTTGTCCAAGGACCAATCTCAAAACTGGCCGGAGACCTAGTTGAAAACGTCACGTGACAGTTCACTGGCATGGCTCTTGACACGACAGGCCGAGTTAGAGAAATGCGCCAGATCTTGAGCGGTTGTGCCTTGACTCAAGTTTTGTGGCTGCGTTGCCTTGGGCTTTTGTTCCTAACTTTCTGGTCTCTGGTCCCCTGGTCCTGCGCATCCGCAACCCCCTCCGGTCTCTTTTTAGCCTTGCCGCGGGTCGCCCGGGTCGCGGGCCACAGGCTGTGGCCCGTGAAACGTTGGGGGCGGGTTTAGCAAATGGGATCTATGATGAACCGGAATCGCCAAATGAGGGGGCGTGCTCAAGACATATGATGCGGGGCGTGTTTACGACATATGATGAGCCTCGGTCGCCACATGAGGGGGCGTGTTTAGGATATATGATGAGCCTGAATCGCCCAACAGGGGAAGGGGTGTGTGTTTACGATATATGATGAACCGGAATCGCAACATGAAGAGGCGTGTTTAAGATATATTATGATGAGCCGGAATCGCCACATGAGAGGGCGCGTTTAAGAAGTATGATCAACCGGAATCGCCAAATGAGGGGCATGTTTAAGACGTATGATGAACTGGAATCGACAAATGATTGGGCGTGTTTAAGATGTATGCTCAACAACAAAAGCAACAACAACACAATCTATCTGGAGTGTATGTTAAGTACGCGTGTGTGAGTGTGTGTGTGTGTGCACGGAACGCAAAGTACCTCCCCAGGCATGCGTCAAGACACCATCGACAATCCTTCACACATAACAAGTTGCCTGTCAGTGTTTTGCGCTGCTTTGT